GAATTTGGAATCTTGGCAGAAAACTAGTCACATCCTATAGAGAGAAGCATTCATTTGATTTCCATTACAGTTTATGCATCTTTTTCGTGCCTACATCTCGGTGGATCTGAGCGCAAAGACTAAAGCCCTCTACGCCGTGTCCTCTACAAACCTGGGAGTGAAAGGTTCTCCCAGAGCCAAGGTCAGACAAATTTCACAATACCGAACATGTTGGCCCACGAGGCAATGATTCACTACTTTCAACCAGATAAATATCCGACTCCCAACGAGGTCGATCCCCTCCAATGCCTCATTAAGTCTACAATTACGACCCAGCACATCCTCATTTCAATAATCACACCTCTCTTCGACCTTTTCTGACCTCAGTTGACCATCAAACACACGCCCACGCCGATATTAACACCCGACGGAGGGAACAAACAGTGTTGCACAAGCCTTGGAGACAGTTCTTACGAATGGGCGCTAGAGGAGTCAGGACAAGTTTGCAAGATGATTCAGAGGATGGCTATAATCTCGACGTGCGTGAAATTCGGAATTTTGCCGACGAGTTTTACGAATTAAACTTTGTGCATGCGCCAAGAATTCAGTTGTGAGAGCGCAGGCGACACTGTAAATACCGCCATGGTTGGATGGTGCGGTAGTACATCGCCTTGGCCGGTTACCAAGTAGAGTCTGGATAGCTTGGACACGTATCCCACTCGAGACAGGAGGTCGCTGATTCAAATCCGGCAAAACATAAATACATTATTAGCGGTGCTGATACATATGGATGACCAAGGCGTGCTTGGATAATCAAAGGTATTGAAACGTCCCTTTGGCGGGTCTGCACGGAGGAGGGTCGACTGTTTGTGTAAGCAAACATACCTCAGTGGTTGGGTTGGATGGTGCAGTGGTACACCATCCGGGCCGTTCTCCCAAGTAGATACTGGGTAGCTTGAACACCTACCCCATTCGAGACAGAAGAAAGCTGGTTCGAATCCAGTTAGACCCACACACCACACTCTCTCGCGGTGATATAGTGCTTGTGGGATGATGAAAGCACACTCGGATAGCCACAGGGTTTTCACGCTTTTCCCTGTGGTGAGTATGCACGGAAGAGGTTACACGCCGTAAGGGTTAACCTCGAGTGGTATCTGCAAATGAAACCTGAGTGTGAGTGTTCTAATCGTCAAATTGAGTCATCCTACTAAAAGTACATATCTTCCGATAAAAACCTGCATGGGCCTCAAGGCGCCAGATCAGGTTTAATGAATTATATATATACCTCAGTGTAATGGCTACTAAGCCTAAGAATTCCTGTAGCCTATGCTGGCTAGCGCCGGCAATGACATCAAGGGAATCTCCGGGGATATTCGGGAAGGATCTCGGGATACACGGAGCTTAGAAGATTCTTAGTGAACCTTCTGGAAGTATACTGAAGTTTCATGAGGATGACAGACATATCGAGAGTCTTCTTGGGAATCTTCGAAGATTCCATATTATTCTAGTCATAGGGGGAACCTTATAGCAGAGGAGTATCTCAGAGTGTATATATATTTGTAGTCTAGCTATAAGAATTCTCTCTCTAGAGAATTATAATTAATATACTGTACCTACAAGATCGCCCAAGCATGTTGTACTGAAACCGTGACACTCAGTTGTATTTGCAAATGAAATCTAGAGCATGAGTGTCTCTAATGTCAAAAGAGTCATCCTACATATATACATAGCACCGGTCATGTGTCATGGCTGAATACAAATTAATTGATTTTTTTTAAAAAAGGCCCCATCAGCTTACTTTGAACAATATTGCTATAACTTGTATACTTTTGATATACAGAGCCCTATACTCTATCTCTGGAAGCCTCATGGAAGTTCCCCGTAAAGGAAGTGCTTGGAAAGGGCGTCATACAATAAGCCTGTCCGATACTCCAGACTGATTCAATCACGAGATTGTTTTTTCCACGTGCGTCCGACATCAAACGCAAGATGCACCACATTTACTTTGGTAGATGGAGATGCGAGGAAATAACCGGCAAAGACACAGTCATTACTAGAGTTCAAGGTGTTGATTTAGAAATAGGCTTCCTTCAAGACGTTCCGGAGGATGCCGGCGAGGCGAAGTTGACGGGATGTAGAAATTTCACTTGTTTGATTTTATTTCATCTAGCCCGTTCATGTATCTTTTAGGCCCATGCCGTTGTATCTCGCTCTAATATTCACAAGCAAGGGAACCAACTCGGTGAGTGGGTGAGTTTATTGTCCTGATTAGTCTATGACCATCAGAGGACATGTATGTTCTTTCTGCCTACAGGCCAGGAGAATCTATGCCTCGGGTAGTGTACTCCCTCCTATGCTTCCTTCACGACTTCTTTCCAACAGTAATACCTCTACACGTCTTCATTCAAGTACTCACTAAGAGAACTCGCTATCCCGTCATTATCCCCTCTTTCTAGCCAACGAAGTGGTGGCCATTTGCGAGTTTTTAGCTGTGGGGAAAAGTCTCAATAACCACTGATTGAGGGCTTCTTCTATGACGAAGAGGCCGACCAGCCGGGCGCAGCAGACTTGTGTATACCTGAGAGCGTCTCTCAACCTTCCTAGCCTCCTCCCTACTCCTCCCCCGATTCATGCCGTAGGACAAACCGACGGTCATGAAAGGATGTCAGAAAAGTGTTGGCCGAAAGTAACTGCTGTGAAGTAGCCTAGCCTAGCATCCAAAAGTCGTTTTGGACGTGGAGTCGTCGGGTAACTCATGTATTTCAGATGCCTTTCTGGCTAGTAGACTTGGGAGTAAAGATCAGTAGGGAAGATATTATAGACGATTCAAAATCTGCTTTTCTTGAGGGCGGAAGGGTCTTTTACTTTGCTTTCGTGAGCTTTTTGTCCGCCCGTCGGTGGCTAGCATATGTTGTGATATAACGAGGGCTTCTCAGACTACCGTTGTAGCGTTTGGTACCGCATTATCTTTCCTCACTCCCAGCATCATTGTCGTCGTCTTGGTCGTCTTATGAGTTATCAGAAGCATATCTTTGATGGAAGGGGAGATAACTCAGCTCAAAGATGAAAAGGTGTTACTCAATCTCGGCTCTGCAGACTCTACAGTGAGAGCTAGAGGTTCGTAGGGGACACCACTGACAGGTGTTGAGTTTCGTCCCCCACAGAATATACTTTATATAGCACTCTGTGTCCTATTAGGAGTAACTAACAACTCTTCACGCCAGCTTTGAGGACTCTCTTATTTTCCCACTCGCTTCACCAAGTGATACAATCTGTGCCCAACAGCCACAAGATTTTTCAAAAATCCCCGCTCAACATAAATCACGATATTCCCCCTATCGCTGCGGAGTTTCTCGAAGCCGATTGACATTTTTGATCCACAAGAATCGAGGAGATTCCAAATTTCGCGAATTGACGCGCTGAAAATGGACTCTGTGGTTAACGAAGCTTTGGTGGATTCAACTCCACGGGCAAGACAAATTCTTCAACTTCCATTGGTGCCGGTATCATCGCTCAGCATGCTCTATATATCTAGGATAGGCAATAAGAATCGCAAACGAATCTAAGTAGAGAGCTGACACAAGCTTATCTCCATACTGCCGCTCTTACCAGTCTCATCTAAGTCCTCAACCTCTTCCTAGCCACACATCATCTCGCCTCTACGACGGATAAAGGAGCTGCTCCAATTTGGAACAAGAGCTTGCTTCATTAATTACCAGCCATCTCCTGCAACAAGTTTTCGACGCTTTGTCTACCCGTAAGGAGGAAATGATATCGAAAAATACGAAGCCTAGATCCTGGCTTGTGAGAGACAATTGCTCAAATGGGACAAAAAACTTGTGGGAGGACAGATGGCTGAGGTGTGGAGCAAGTGGGGGAAGAGATCTCTAAATACTTTGCTGGAACTGACATTTTCGAGGATTTTCAACTTTGGATTTTGTGTGGGCGCCAAGACTAAGATTTCGGTAAATTAGCCAGGAGGGCTTCTAATGCTGATGAGTCAACGGCCCTCTCCAGCGCCCTGGATGGCACGAAAGAAGTTGGGCTAAGCTACCATACAGTAATTACTCTCTGTCAAGACTTTTCTGACATTTCAGCACGACTTTCGGGAAGGAGGCTAGAAAAGCAGAGGATGAATTTCCCGAGGTACCCGCAAGTCTGCAGCGCCTAGCTGGCCGGCCTCTTCGAAAGCTTGAGAAGGGTCACTATATATTTGGATTTAGTCCTAATGTCGGTATTAGAAGAGCTCCGCACCCAGTGGTTTTTGCGTTTTTTACAGGCTGCCATACACACGCAAATAGTCATCGTTTCGTTAGCTGGACAGGGGAAATAATGGAGGGCAAAGGGCTCCTCTAAGTGTATGATCGAATGAGGACTTGTGAGGGGCGGTACTATTTGAGGGGAGCTGTATGGGAGGCATAGGAGGGGATATACTGCTTGTGTAGGTATCCTTGGCCTGTAGGCAGAGAGGACCGGCCTGTTCATTCTGCCATAGACTCAGACAAGAGAATAAAATGAATTAATAATGTTAATAATATGGCAGCATGGGTTTTGGTCGGATGAAGGATTGATGTCGAGATGCTCATCCTAATATATTCCTCGGCTTAATAAACGTCACTCTTCATCTCATGGTTAAATTAAGTTGCTTAAGTTGTATAATCAACGATGATGAGGCATTTTAGTTAGGGCTTGGCTCGTTCATAAGGCGCAATGCGCCATGGAATAGACCCCACACACTGCCGCTTCATTTAATTTAAATACACGCCTAGATCTGCTGAACGTAAATCTCATCAGATATATAACCCCAACAGGTCCTCGTCCCGAACGCAAAATATCAAGATTTTTGACTCGCACTTCTTTGACTCACGCCAACATAAAGATTGCAGAAGAACAACAAGAATAAGGTTCATTATCGAGACTCATCACAACAATTGCTTCCTCTCTACTAGACCTTTAACTCAATATCAGACGGCTGAGTGTTTCGAGGCCAAATTTAAATTCCGTAGAACTACATTCTGGAAATGAAGTTTCTCAGCACTGCTACAACCGCGGCGTTGACCGGTCTTTTACTGCTGGTATCAGCGGCTTATGGAGACCGACATTATACTTGTGTACATGGCAGAATCGTGAGTGAGAAAGAGGTCTTAGAAGAAGCTGGGATGGCATATGATACCGTACCCTATCACGATCACCCTCCCACTCCCACGGGTGAAACATACAAATCAATTTTATTCTCCAGGTTTTTAAATGATAATCGTCAGTTTAACTATTTTCCCCATCATTGTCTCATTAACCGTCCCTTTCTAGAACAATATATAGCTAGTTACTTGGTGCAAGTATATGGGAGCCCACAAAAGATTCAACTCTCTGTATTTTCCGAAAAGAAATGGAAAATTTGTAGTTTTGTAGAGAGTTAATAGGCACTAAGATTCTGCCGTCGTCTGTATCAATTGAAGACCTGCCGATGGAAACTTGCAAATGATGTTTTCACCATGGAATCGAACTGAAAGCGCACCATGCGCACATCGCCACTCAATACCGCTCTCTACCCATCCGGAAATCCTCCATCCATCAGCTACCTCTCTTATTCTGTGTCGACAAGATTGACTCACTCGGTGGTCTTGTTGAGAAATGCCTGGATCTTGGCCGTTTCCCGAGCATGTAAATATGCATGGCAGTAGCCTCGATGAAACATCATAGTACCTCGTAAACAGTGTAATGCCTACATTACCGTTGTAGAGTCTAATCTAATATTCTCTTGTCTATTCCAAGTCTCTGAATAGATAAAGCACGTAGATCGTCTCTGACAAGAGGCCAAGTACAAAAATGCGAGTGCTACATCTCCTCCTATACTGTGATGGCAACCGAGTTGGTGATGAATAAGTTGATTTAATTAACTATATTATGAGAAAAGCTTATTATAGCTAATACTAACAGGTATGTATAAGAGTCAATCCTCGTGAATCTACAGACTAGTGACTTGTCCTTGGGCACAATACTTCTTACCTAGCCACATATTTCCTGTTGAGCGGATTGGTTTGCAAAAGTTTGTGGCTGTTAGGCACAGATTATATCACTTGGTGAAGCGAGTGGGAAACTAAAGGAGTCTGTAAATCTGTCGTGGAGAGTTTTTAAGTACTCCCACTAGGACACAGAGTGCTATATAAACTATATTTTGTAACAATAAAATCTAGTGGTTGGTATTTACGTCAAAGCACATTAATACTAACCTCATAATTAATGGGAGATTAGTGACGTGTATTCTACACATCGCTGTCTTTACCATAATTGGAAGCACCAATTTGGACATTTCCAGGTGTTACTAAGTTGTAATAACACTTCAGCCTCCTGACTAGTAGTGCCGGTTCGTTCAGCTTTATCTCCCTTCCATACAGCCTCATTGTAAGAATTCTCAGTATCAGGCTTAGGTATTCACCTAAGATCAAACAATGGTCAAACCGTAATATATACGCCCCCCCACACAGCTTCTTTCAGGGAGGACGAAGGCTGAACACCTGTCAGTGGTGTCCTCTACAAACCTGGGAGTGAAATATTCTCCCAGAGCCGAGATTCAGCCACGAAAAAGGGTGGGATGAATTTTTTTTGATGGATTTTCGACTTGAAGGAGTTGCACTTGATATTTTGGTCGATAAATCAGTCTACAGAGATTTCACAGCCGGAAAAAAGTTGAACAAAAACTTATCACAACTAACATATGTTTCACGAATGGATTTAGGTCTGTCTGGGGGCTGTATTCAAACATCCGACATCTCTTAAACTCCTTTTATACTTGCGATGAAGCATTTCTCAATCGATCCTATACCTGCGACCTACCTTCATACCCGTCCGATCCCCTACCTACACACGCTCTAATGAGGAAAGTCATGATGGAAACGGGACGTGTACAAAGGAGGAAGAAGAGGGAAGATGCACCGAGGGGATTACACAAATCCCCAATGATGAAAACAACCCAATGGTACGACATGAAGGTGCAAGGCTAGAGCAACGATGAGATCTTGTACGGCATTGATATTTCGGAGTCAATGAGGATGTCAAGGGCTCGGGCGCGTGGTGGCCGAGGCTGAGGAGGAAGTTGCGCTACGGCGTGTATACAGCTGGTTTCTGGACGATTAGGCTTGGTATGATTCAACACATAGGTGAAGTCTGAGGTGGTCCGGTCATTAAAGTGGGACGAGGTTTATCAGTACTTCACGGTAGTTAACCTGATCCGGCCCAACCCCACACATGCTTAAGCTCCAATAGGACTGCAACGGTAGTCATGTAACCTTGCACGTTAAATAATAAAACAAAACAAAACAGCTTCCTTCAGACAGTGCCGCCCCTCAACGGCCCCCATTCGATCATACATCCTGAAACGTCCTCTACCCGTTATCATCGGTCTACTTTCCAGCTGAAGAAACAACAACCCGGCGCGTGTGCATGAAAGCTGTGAATAATGGCAAAAAGCACAGTGTAGGGCACACTTCGAAACCCGACATCGGGGTTCCATCCAAAATCCTAGTTACGGCGCCCGCATGACTCAAAGTCGGAAGCCCCTCGAGAGTGATAGTTCTATCAGGGATTAGAGTATTTACTTTTATTGTCTGCTGGGCAAAAGCGATCGCTATTGTCCTATTCCGGGGTGGCACATGGTGACTGAAGGAGTTCGAATGTTTGGGGCCATCATGAAGGTGTCAGGAAATGCTGCTTAGTCAGCTAGTTGGTCAAGTGAAAGGTGTCCACATCATTAGTACATAACACCTTTATCACTACACACCCTTAGTCCTACATCCATACATTTCCTCACATATTGCATATTACCATCTGCATTATCTTACTCCCGTGACTATACTTTCTCAATATCCCAACAGGTTATGAGACCGGTGTCTAATTATTCATCGGCTTCCGTTTTCGAACAATCCACAGCAATGTCTTCATTTACTACAGAAATAAAAGACACCCGCGATCACGACGGTCTTCCACAGTACAAATCTAATTTGGGAAACATTGTGATTCTGAGCCTCGGAACATTCACAGAGTGGCGGATTACTTGCGAGATTGCTTTAATAAATGCAGGCGATTTAAGTATCGCTGATGACACTTGGAAGAAACCTATTGCCAATTATTACACACATGCTTCCCGTCCTAATACACGATCAGTCTTGCTCGGTGCAGCACACAATGAAATTGATGCCGATTGTCACGGTTCGAGTGTTGATGCTGGAGCAATCAGATATACGAAGGTAGTTTATAATTTTCTCTATGGCTAACTATCAGGATATTACTTCAACTATTTATACATCTATGAAGAACTCTAGAATACTCGTTCTTGGCTGATATCTGCTTCTCGTATATTCCAGTCAAAGTGGTTCCCAGTCTTGCTACCAATTACTAGAATATTCCAGTCACAGCTGAACTGATCTAGAATAAAGCTAGACTACTGTAGAATTATAGAAGCACGTGAATACAATCACGTGCCACACAACAATCGGCTCACAAGCTGTTACACCGATGACAATGAATTTCGAATACAGGAACAGAAATGGTTGTCCAAAGCCCGCGATAGGCAGATAATCATATCCAACTCCATCTAAACCCAACTGATGGAGCAGTTGCTCGGATTTCTGAGGAACATTGATCCCGCTGGGTTATGGAACTTCCTCCTCCAAATGGACCCAAACAGAGATCCTACAACCATTGCAGAATTGAGATCCAAGTTTGCCTCCATGAAGCTTGATCCGAAAACAGACACAATCCAATCTCTTGTTCTACGCCTCAATAATCTCAGAGTCAAGCTATCAATGACCTCTAGACCAATCACCGAGGAAGATGTCAAGGAGCAGCTAATTGCATCTCTTCCGAAGGATAACTCAATTTGGTCTACGGCTCGATCACACGCTCTAAACATGGGTAGAAGTCTCACAGAAACAATTACATATCTTCAATCTTGCGAGTCTAACATTTGTTATGCACAGTCCCCTCAACCACAATCTGCAAATATAGCACGCAGCAATTATAGAAAAAGAGGACGTGGTACATATCGAAGGGGATGCAATACAGCGCACTTTGATCGTCGTGATCAAGCTCGCGGAGAGCTTAACCGAAAAGGAAAGCAAAGAGGAATGGCAACAGACGAAAAGGAGTGTTTCTTTTGTGGTAGAAAAGGTCATGTAGAACGCGATTGTCGCCTTAAGCAGTCCCAAAGTAGAGCAGCCAAGGAAAAGAATAAACCTAGGGGAGATGCCGACGCTCGTTATGTTCAAGTTAGAAATATTAATGCAAATGATTCACCCTACCTGTATTATTATCTTGAACACAGTCACACAGCTTGCTCAGAGCAAAATATGGATAAAAGTCTGGCCCTACTCAAAATAAAATCAAGTAAAAGTAAAATCCGACAATATAAGACAAATTCCAAAAATATATAGAGCTTGATCACCAGCGGAATCCGTAAACTTCTTAAATTTATACGGCTTCTGGATTCTAATGTAACAGCTTTCCCAACTGTCACAAAACATGCATTACTTACCAAGCCCAGAGAAATTCTCACAATAATTGACTCCGGGGCGTCAGAACATTTCAGTGGTATCAGAGATGATTTCTCTATGCTCAAAAGATGGAGCAGTCCAAAGTCTGTCCAAATTGCAGATGGAAAGGTTATTTAGTGCGAAGGCTATGGCAATATATCTTTTAGGACTAGTGATTGTCACAGTTTGAATATAGAAAGCGAATGGGCATTTGTATGATTGAAAGGTAAAGCTATAATTCATCTATGTGGAAGCAAACTACCTGCAAGTCTACTCTACTACTTATACACATCCATAGGTATCTAAATCTAGCCTACACTTACAGTGGTAATAAAACTGACTTAAGGTTTGTTCTGCCACACGGGTAACGCTTCCAATACTCTTGGCACTATCCTTTACGTAGCCTCAGTGGTGATCTCGTATCAGTTTTCGTCTGCTAATAATCCTCGGAGTGATAGAGAATATAAGTTGCCTTCGATAGCCGTCGAAGGCTACAGGAGGAGGGCAAGACTGAACACCTGTACGCGGTGTCCTCTACGAACCTGGGAGTGAAATATTCTCCCAGAGCAAAGTTCAGTCAAACAAAGTCAAACTTTGCAATACCAAACAAGTTGGCCCACGAGGCAATGATTCAAAATACTCCACCATATCAATCTTTCACTCCCAACAAAATCAATTCCTACCTAAGCCTCATCAAGTTTACGAGTACGACCTAGTACATCCTCATTCCAATGACCACACCTCTTTTCGACTTTCTCTGGCCTTAGCTGGTCGCCAGATACAAGCCCACGCCGATATTTACACCCGACGGAGGAAACAAAGCGTGGCGCACAAATCTGGAAGACAATTCCTTGGAATGGATGTGAGAGGGATCAGGACAAGTTAACAAG